ATGGATGAACTCGACGAAAATGCTGTTAACAATATAATATTCTGATATTATTCACAGTCAAAGGACAATTTCTATGGCATCATTAAGTTCGTTATATTCTCTTAAACACAATTTGTTCAAAATAAAGCAAAACATCGATAAATATATGACTTAATACTTAAATACGTTCTAGATATTGTAAAATAGTTAGTCATGATAAATAGCTACTGGTGTTCTGTTTCCCCAACCTAGCCTTTCGTGAGTAACTTTTCCGGCTTGGTCTCGTATGCTCAAAGTATTTACAGTGATTTAAGGTAATGTTGCATTTCCATTCGCAGTGTAAAGTAAAAAGTGGGGTTATTCCCCCGCTAGGCTAAAGAGTTTTCACTTGTTTAGCCTAGCGGGAGAATAACCCCACAGGCCTTTTTTTAACTGAGGTAGGGCCAAGCTTTTTCACGAATGGGCAGTTCCGCCCGGGGACGGGGAAGTACCGCGAACTCACAGAAGACCGACGTGAAGTGGAAGTCTTATACTTCTGCGTTTCGTCTGCTGATTGAGGTAGTCGGGGCCCACTTAATTAAAATTTGTTAATGCATCTGCAAATGAGCCGTGATAGCTCAGTGTCCGGGCGCACGCCATTAATTCAATATACTCTAGCAACCTGAGTTCGATCTCCGGTGCCGGCACCAATGGAGTTATTAACTTTAAGTGCTGACTTATCACGTGCTCCGCGGTAAACATCGTGAGGAAACCTGCATAATTTCGAAATAATAACAAATAAAAATATTTTTAGAAGATATGTAAAGTCCGCCAATCCGCAGTGGGGCCGCGTGTTAGACTATGCCCTGTTACCCTCTGTATAGATGAGGTCTTTTTCCAGCAGTGGGGCATGTATAGGCTGTTACTTTATTTTTTTTTACATCTGCAAACCTACGGGCGTTGCAAATGTCCATGGGCGGCGGTTTTACTTAACATCAGGTGAACCGCCGGCTTACTTGCCATCTTATCACATTAAAAGAAGGTACTATAACCAGTGACACTCGCGTAATAAATCGAGCTTAACGACATATCACAATTATATTAAGAGAGGCCATTAATCACGAAGAATAAGAACGACATGTCATTCATCATTTGGTAGATACGAAGAAACATTGGGGTGGACTCTCGCTATGGCAGTGGCTGTATTCAACCCGATAATTCGTAAGGGTTCCGTACCCAAAGGGTGAAACGGGACCCTATCGTTGATTATGTAGACATACATTCTGGTGATACAATCTGTCACCAGAATGTATGTATAACTGTGATAGTTAGACAGATGTATTTTAGATGATGTATTTCTGTTGCCGCTATAGCAACAAATACTAAAAAAACAGAATAAAACTCCCATACAATAAACATGATTTGTTTGCCGTTTTTATAGATAATGGTACGGAACACTTTTTTAACACTTTACTAATACATCATCTGTGAGAATTTCAATTGTTTAACTGTCATGTTGGTGATTGACGGACAGACAGACAGACAGACAGCGGAGTCTTAGTAGTAGGATAACGTTTTACCCTTTGGATACGGAACCCTAAAATCTATATACATCATACTGCTGAGCCTCAAAGGCCTCTTTTGCATAAAGGATATTAGAGATAGAAAAATTAAAAACGATAAAAGCTGTAAATATATTATGTAGCCCATTGCTAGGCAAGTCTCATTTGTACATAAATAGGTTATAAGGAATGACCAACATCACGATAGTCAAAAAGAAGTGTGGGTGTAGTTGAGAACACCATAAAAAAACCCAAGCA